AGTTACAACACCTAATCCCACTGACTTCGAATTCCAACCTCATTCAGCCAACCCCTCACGTCAATGCAATGCTCTCTCTCTCTCTCTCTCTCTCTCTCTCTCTCCTTCAGCCTCGGCTTATACATAGTTCTCTCTCTCTCCTTCAGCCTCGGCTCATACATAGTTATAGTAATAGCATTTTAACAGCCAAGACTATCCGCAACTTTATAGTTGGGGGGTCAGTCTAATTAATACTGCCATGCTTTGTCAAAGCTGTAGATATCATACCTAGTTGGCTGAAAATTTTGACTTGTAGGAATTAATGGACTAGGGTTTCAAAAATCACCAAACCGCAAATAGTCGGTCGGTTTGCGGTTTGAGTAAAAATTCGCGGTTACCGAACCGCAACCACCCCTAGTTTTACCCATATTAGTTATTAGTATATCCATTAGATTAGAATGCTCCACCTACTCCATCTTAATTTCCTCCAATATTTGCTTGCTTCATCGACATTAATGTATGCCTTTATCTTAATTGATTTTACCTATAATTTCCTCTATTCAATCGCCCAACTCAATACTCATCCTACACCACCAACAACCCCCCCTCCTCCCTTCTTCTGCCCAACATTCTACACCTCTACACTTCACATATATAATATACCCAACCTTCTACATATAAGAATTGGTTGGTTTACTTTCCTTTAATCCCTAGATTTCCAAGATTAACATTATTATTACTGCTAGCACTGCCCACCTCGTTGGCTTAAATTTCTAAAAGATTTTAAGACGCGTGTTAGCCAACTACAACACTTAACTCCAATTGATGTCCAAAAATGAATTCAACTTAGAAGTAGGCATGCTTTCTGTCTGGAGCGTTCTACGACAGGTGTGGGATGAATCTACAAAAGGAGAGAGCAAATGTGAAGACTTTAGGCACCTGTGTGATACTGGCCGAAAGCACTCCGATACTTAAGTTAGCACAAGTATTGTGAATAGAAGATAACTATTGATTTAAAGCTATTGAATTGTACCATTGCAAGTAAAATTGCAGTTCAATTCAATAGATACCAAAATAGTTCAATAAATTGAACTATTGAACAACCATTGTGGATGCTCTAATGTGTCAAATTCTTTACAAAGATAATTCTTTATGAAATCTTACAAATGGAGGGTTAGATTATCATGATCACATTGTGGGGCATAAGAATGACAAGTGCCGTTTAAATTAAAAATAGGCACACGTTCTTGAATACTTTTGTATATTTGAAAGAAGGGCCTAACTAATATTTCTTCTGAATGCATTAGCATAAATGAAAGCAAAGACAATAATTTTATTTCAATTTCCTATACGAATTCAACTTAGGATAATGACTTTTACACTCCCATTTTCTCCTTATACACTCTTTTCCCTTGTCTGTGTCCGTTGATTCTCCTGTGATTTATTCAACCTAAGGCTAGGAAAAAAAAAAAAAAAAAGTGAAGTGCATGGAGAGAAAAGCAGAGTGTGCAAATTGCTTCCCATATTTTATTATGTCTTTTAGGGCAAGATTGAAAGTAGGCCCTTTACTACAAAGGGTCACCCCTTGACAAGACACATAACTTATTTTTTATTTTCTTTTAAATATTTCTTTGTGTGGCTTCATATGAAATCAATTTATGTCCGTTGCTCAAGTCAAGTCACTAATTTCATGCCTCTTAATTAAATGTCTTAATTAAACTATGAATGAAACCACTTGTTGATGACATCAAATGTCCCTTGTATTTTCTAAAGATAAAAATTAATTTGTAACCTTGCTTGTATCATATATATATATATATATGTGTGTATATGTTAGAAAAATATTTCATTATTAAATAGTCATGATCTTTCTTGTTTTTTTTTTGGGTCGAATTAAATAGTCTTGATGACGTATTAATATTGTGCACATCAGTTTAATTGGTCAAGTCAAGATGTGGAAAAGTGAAGTCAATGGTAAAAGATGCCTCATTTGACAATGAGAACACACAGCTGGAAGGTCGCTCTCTCTTGATTATTATATACTAATAATAGCATTGAGAATTATCTGAAGGTACGTGCTTGTCTATATATATATTTAACTCGAAGAAAACAACAAACATGTTATTATTTTCCTTGTGCATGTTTACACCTGCAAAGTCAATACGTACGATTGGTTTTTATTGCAAATATCTCGTGTTAGGTTCTTATTTCATTATCCATGTTTGATTTGAAGGCAAAAACAAAGACGTAACGACTGGAAGTAGTCCTCAATCCTCATCATCAGTGACTTTATTTCATCTTAACTTGAATTAGTGGCTTTCTTATCTTACTCAATCAAATTCAATGCATGACATCGCCTTCACTTCCATAGCGGCAAGCAAACGGCATACGGAGTTGATCATGATTCATGATCACATGCAGTGCAAAGCAACGGCCAACCTGGTTTTTCTTGAGAGACAAAAATCTCAATAAAGACAAGAAAAGAAAAGAAAAGGTCATGGAATATAATTATTCCTTTCTACTTTGTAATTGAGACAGACACCAGCAGCAGCAAGTCAACAAATTTTTACAATAAATTTTAAATTTTATATGCAGTTACAAAAGTTTAACTTTACATGTAAACATACTCAAGCTTACAAAGTCTTAAACACTCAAACCTAATCAAGAGAGTTACAAGCCAAGAAAAGTGAACCAATGATAGGGTTGACAAGTCTCGGACAGAAACCCAGTCTAGGTCTAGAGGTAGTCGACATGTGTGTAATCTACACCAAAACGTAGGCGCGCGAGAGCAGCAAGCACATACCTTTGTTTGTCCATTTGGGTCAAGTCTAAAAATACTTAAAAGTGCACGAAAAACATTTGAAACCAAACACAACAAAACTATTTATCAAAGCATAAACCATTTGGTATGCTCACGCACTTGCCCAAACATTTTTCAGGATCGTAATAACATTATTTGGTAACCGATCCATGCATAATAAACTAGTGTCGGTTATTAGGAACTATAACTATGGCCCGGCCGGCAAGGCCTTAGGGTTTGATGGACTGGCAACTCCTGAAGTGGTAGCAAACGATTCCATAGTTGCTTTCAAAACTGCCTTGTGGTTTTGTATGACTGAGCAAAAGCCTAAGCCCTCTTGCCACGATGTCATGACTGGAAGATATGTCCCCACAGAAGATGACATGGCAGCTAATCGGACTGTTGGGTATGGGCTGGTCACTAACATAATCAACGGCGGAGAGTGCGGAAGATCCAACGACGGAAAAGTGAATGGTCGAATTGGTTATTTCAAAAGATATGCTGAGTTGTTTAACGTTGATCCCGGACCTAACTTAGATTGTGAAAATCAAAAATCTTTTTAATGAATTCTCATATATATGCTTTTTGTTTTTTCATTGCTTTGCTCTTTGTTTAAACTGAAAAAAGATTGGATGTACGTAAGTCGCACAAAAATGTTGTCAAATCTCTTGAAAACAAGGCAATAAAAGTGTATTCCATGCTTATGTGATGTGATACGGATTTCCGGTTGTTTGATCGTAACTGTACTGATCCGCAAGGTCAACCGGAAAATCAAAATGGCCAAAAGAATAAAACTTTCATAATGCAATGCCGATCAATACAAATGTTGGATCTGCCAACAAAATGATAATGATAATACAAAATTGCGGATAGTCTGAAACAAACAAGTCCAAGAGCAGTAAATTTATCCTAATGACTGATATATGAGAGAATCGTCTAAAAGACAAGCTCATGAGGCTTCATGCCTGACTTAAGAGAGAATCTCGCAGCTAAGTATGTCTTCAAGTCTGGGACAGCCTCAATGGACTTTAACAATGAAGCATCCACGCTCTTCTGGTCGTCTTTCCTTCCTTGGGGGAGGACATTCTTTTCCTACATTTTGTTGTTGGGAAAATATTAATTCAAAGTAAAATATTTAGACAGGAACAGTCACAGTAATGGATGCTATTCTCCAATATTTGTATTCAGACCAGTAACAAATAAATGAAGACAATACTATCTTCCTATAACATGGAAAAGAGAGCGAAAATGGAGAAAGAAACAAATAAAAGAAGTAGCAGAAGTTGGAAAGATATTGATAGGAGTGGAGAGACAATGCAAAAGGGAAACCTAACAATTACAAAATATCTATAACCAAAAAAAAAAAAAAAAAACACTCTGGTATTTCTTTTTCTCATGCTTAGAAAACTATACATAATTAAATTAATAGATCCTGATGGCACCCATAAACATTTCAACTTGCACAACATCTAAGTCCGCATAGACAGTAGCAAGAACAGATGATAACTAAATTTGCTCTACAAAAATATACAAGTAAAAAGATGATAAAACTAACCTCTTTCTCTGCCTCAAAAAATTCTCCCTCCCCCTTATTTTTCTTCTTCTCCACTTCCTTTGCAAAATATTTGTCATCAAACTTTTCTACGTTCACCCCAGAAATGTCAACCTTGGTGGAAGTGGCAATCACATAGGACTGATTCACACGTCTCAAAGGAACACCATTAATTTTGAATGGCCCTGCAAAGGCATAAAACCAGCACTCGAGTTAGAAATACATTCTATGAATTTGCCTGAACAAGTTCATTTTGAGAACCAGACAAGTGCCACAATTAGAAACCCATGACCCAGCCACTACGCAATAAATAGAAAATAAATAGGAAAATTCATCTCCCACAGATGAGAGAAATTTCGTGGATAATGGATTGGCATGTATGGGCTCAACTCTTTTGTTGGCATTGAGCTCATCCTGAGGAATGACTTTATGGG